ACTCAGACTTTTATCTTGAGAAAAGGCCTCAATAATCTCATGTTTCTCCTCTAGTGTTTCAGAAGAGATCTCAACATTCTCTAAAAGTCAGAGGTGTGATCTTCACCTTGTTTTTATACCAGGCCTCAGCTTCCTTTCGGCTGCATGCTGAAATCTCCTCATACTGGCTCTTCACATCAGCGAGAATCTTCTCCATGTTCAGCTGCCTGCTGTTGTCCATCTGCACCACAACGGACGTGTCCTTCACGTCTGCCTGCAGCTCACGCAGCTCCTACAGAGAAAGAGAGGTGAAGTGAAGTCCTCCGATTAATCTCAGGATGTTCAGCTGTTTCATTCATGCATGTGAGTTTGCATTACCTGTTCATAGAAGCTCTTGAAAAAGTTCAGGTCTTCCAGGATTACTGCTATTTTATCTTCCAAGGCATTTTTATACAAGTATGTAGTATCCACATCCTGTCAGGACATGTACAGTATACTTGTTAGCTTGGCAGATCCTTGGCATATTACCGTTATTTGTCATCTGATGCTATTCATCTTCTGCAACTAGATTTGTCTTACCTTCTTCAAAAGAACAAACTCGTTTTCAGCTTTGTTTCTGTTGTTAATCTCATCTTCATACCTGTAGAAGCAAATGGAATTTTGTCATACAAATCTCTTGTTAACTTCACTCAGCGTACACACACACACACACATATATATATATATATACACACACATCACATATATATATATATATACAAAAATATATATATATATTGACTTGACTTGACAAATAATGAAAATGAAATGAAACTAAATGAAATAAAATAAATTGAAGTACTAAAACTATTACAAATAATAAGTAGAAATCTTAAAAAGTTTAATAGAAATCTTAAAAGCAACAAAAATTAAGGCAAAAGCACATACAATTAGCTACTAAATCTTAAATATAACTCAAAATATAAAATCAGCTTATTCAAAATGTTATCATTTATATAAATGAAAAATATTAATATATTGACAATTATATTAATCACATTAAATAAATTATATTGATATATAGTATAACGATGGATATCTATATAACAATATCACAATTACTACAGTTGTTTAACTGTTAATTAATAATATAGTAGTATTACTATATCAACAATATAGTAGTATTAATAATATAGTTGGGTATTGTATCTTCAAATGTAAAAATGTTCCCGAATCTTTCTGTTGTTTTCTTTTCTTTTTCTTTTTCTTTTTTGATGACAGTGATGGCTAAAATCAAATCACCATGGTTTTACTGCAGTAAAAATAGATTCAATTTACACACGTCAAATTCTTAGCGTATTATAATGTGCATTTCTTGCCATACTAGTGTGAAGTGAACTACTACTACAGTAGCTACACGTGGTATTTTGGCTGAAACTGTGGTTAGCATGGAAAATGATTGTAAGTAATGTTGTTGTTTACATGATTTTACATTTAAATCTGAAATAATATTGAATAATGACTATAACTTGAAGAATCCTGAGACTAATGTTAAGACTTTGCTCCGTGCTAATTATAGCATGAAACTGAACACTAATGTCTGGTTTCGAGTCGGGCTCAAGACTGAAGATGAAGTGTGTGATTATGGACCTTTGTTTTTGTTCCTCAACCTGTGCGTGGACATTCCTGAGCTCAGTGTCCAGGTGTTCTTTGTCTTTGTTCACCCGCTCCAGCTGTGCCCGCAGGGAAGTGATGTAGGACTTCAGCATGGGCTCCAGTTTAGACTCAGGTTTGGTCTCCTTCTGTAGCAGCTGCCATTTAGTCTCCAAAAGCTTGTTCTCCTGCTCTAATTTACGGACCTGCGTGTGTTAAAGAACATTTTATTGCTCAAATGTTGCTCTTACAACATAACTGAGTGTTATGTTTCATTTAAGTATCAACTTTGATGTTTCTCTTAAAGTTCCATAGGAGTAATAAAATACACAACAGACAATAGTTGTCATACAGTAAGAATAAAGCTATAAAATGAATGTGGATAGCAGTTCAGATCATTTGATCTTGTGAGAACGGAATGAGAAATATTTGAGTTCATATTCAAATCTCAGATTTCTGATAGCTTTGGCCAATCTGAGCACAGTCTGAGACATAGTAGAGATCTCTGCTGATACTCTATAGCCGACACACGTGAGATTCTTTCTTGGTCTTTTTCTAAGAAAACTTATTCTGTTCGCTCTCATTTTATCTCTTTGCCATTAAGGAGAAACAATTGAGTGATCTCATTTGTGACTTTTCTCTCCAATATTTGGGTTAACAGATCTGGTGGCTGAGATTAAAATAATAATTTAAAAAAATATTTTTAAAAAGTTAATAAAAATAAAATATTTATATCCTATAAGTTATTAACAAATCTGGCTTCTAAGATTAAAAAAATAACAATATTTCAGTACAAATAAATATATTTTCTCTCTCTTTTCTACAGGTTATTAACAAATCTGGCTGCTGAGATAAAAAAAAAAAATCAGTGCGTACATACAAACAAATAAATATTTATCTCCAACAGGTTATTAACAAATCCAGCTTCGGAGATTAGAATAAAAACTAAGACAAAACTCAGAATGAATAAAATAAAATAAAATAAATATTATTTTCTCCTTATTGACAGATCTGGCTGCTGAAATTAAAAAAATTCAAAATAAATAAATAAATATTACTTTTCTCTACAGGTTAATAACAAATCTGGCTGCTGAGAGTAAAATAAAAACAAAACAAAAAAAGAAAAAAATCTGTACAAACAAACAAATAAATCTCTCCTACAAGTATTAACAAATCTAGCATGCTGATAGATAGATAGATAGATAGACAGACAGACAGACAGACAGACAGATAGATAGATAGATAGACATTCAGACAGACAGACAGACAGATAGATAGATAGACAGACAGACAGACAGACAGACAGATAGATAGATAGATAGACATTCAGACAGACAGACAGACAGATAGATAGATAGACAGACAGACAGACAGACAGACAGATAGATAGATAGATAGACATTCAGACAGACAGACAGACAGATAGATAGATAGACAGACAGACAGACAGACAGACAGATAAACAGACAGACAGACAGACAGACAGACAGAGATAGATAGATAGATAGATCTCAGTAATGTACTGTATTATGAGCGATAAGCAGAGTGAAACAGGAAGAGAGAAGTCTCACCTTGTCGATGAAGGAGGCAAAGCGATTGTTGAGAGTTTTGATCTCTTCTTTCTCCTGGATCCGCACAGCCTGCAGGTCAGGGTCCAGCTGAAGATCCACGGGAGTTAGGAGGCTTGTGTTAACGGACACAGGCCTGATGGGGACCGCAGCCGGTGACACGTTCCCAAACCCGAAATACGAGTTCCCCTGCCGGGGGATCTGTGCTCCAGCGCGGGGGTGCGAGCCCACTGAGCGGCTGCTGAAGCTGTTACTGGAGAAGCTCATGGTGGACAGACAGACAGAGAGATGGAGAGGTGTGTTACAGAGGGATGACAGGAAGACAGGTGGTGCTTCCTGAGAACTCGGCTACTTATACGCTGACAGGTGGGTGTGTTTTTGTGTATAAATGAGAATATACCAGCATTCCTCACGCTGAAAAACCTGTTCGGCCCACCAGTCGTCCAGAGCAAACATACTCCACATTCATGCACGCACAATCAACTGAAACAATGAGCAGAACTACTGTTCACAGATACGTCAAGAGATCTACCTTTGATTACGAGAATATTCCCTGTTCCTGATTGTCTGAAATATGTGATGAATGCACAGTAGGGCTGCAATATTAGCTGAATATGCTGTTTTCAGTTGCTTTTGCATGTATTTCTTCATTTTGTATGATGTTTGGTGGCATATTGTGTTCATATTGATTCAGTGCAATAATTACTACATAGTTTCAATACAGTTGATTCAATACAGTATCGAATATTATTTGCATTTATATTTATCGCTTCTGAACACAGTGCATTGATTTTTCTCAAATCTTCACACAAATCTCTTACATTTGCTGTGTACAAATAAAAACATAATATTTGCTTTAAAAAAAAAAAAATTCTCTTTTAATGATGGAAAGCCATTTATTACACACAATTATGTGATTTAACAGCAAATATGTTTACGTGTTATGTACAGGAGCAGCCATTTTAAATTATTTATTTATATTTGCTGGCTGACCACAATAATTTTACAATAAATAATAAAAAAAGTAAAGATTTGTTTAAAAATTAACTTTAATTCTTAATATATTTAATTCTTTCATTTTTCATTCTTAAGAAAATGTTAATAAATTAATTATAATTAATGAATTTATTATGTATTATGTATAATACATTATAAAAGTAGATTTAATGCATTAATTATGCCTTGTTGTAATGCACCTTATAATGCATTGTACAGTCTCATGAATAATTGTAATCACAGTTAAAACAATATAACAATCGATTCATCCTTACACTATGCATTTTAAATTCTGTTATAATTTTTTACAACAAGATATAATGCATTACAACACTAAAAAATGCTGGGTATTATGTTTTTTATATTTTTACCCAATTATATTGCATTATACCCTTTAATAACCCTTTATAATGCATTATATGTAAAGGCTTTAGGTAAAGTGTTACCGTATATTCTTATCTTTGCAATGTAAGAAGTTTTTTTCTAATAAAATTAAAATGATAAATCAAATGAAATGAACATTAACTGAAATAAAATAAAATATACAAAACCTTTTTTCAGCTAGTTGCCAAAGCAACATTTCTTACTTTAGTTTAGTACTTAAGTACTTAGCCTACTTTTTGTTTAATTGAAGTACTCAAATAACTAAAACTAAATAAACCAAACCTAGAAACTAAAACTTAATAAAAAAATCTTTGACTAAAATTGATTTTACTAAAATATTAAAATAAAGCCTAATGCAAAATATTAACAAAAACTATATTAGTATATTAATTATACTAAAATTACACTGCAAATAATAAATCAAATTCTGAAAATGCCTGCATTAACGATAAATCAAATGCCCAAATCCAATTTCATTTTATCATCTGGGGTAGCACAGACTATAGCAAAAATGAAAATGGAATATAATTTGCGTTTGATAAAAAGATGTAGTAGCGTCAGTAGGACTCTGGCGTCACGCTGTTTATATTCCAGCACCGTCCTTTAGAGGGCGCTGTTGAGACGCACGTAAAGCTCAACTGTACGTACACAAATCTGCTTCCTGTTTACGTTTGTTGAGCACTTTCAGTGCGAGAAGAAACAGCAGACGTCGCGAACTGCACCTGGAAACAGGCTCCGCGTTAGTTTTGTTCAGAGCCGTCGCTGTCCGTGCGCCTGCAGCCGACCCTGTCTGTTAGACAGGCCGTTTCAATGCATTTCAGAGAAGCTTTACCGCCGCGCAGATGGACGCTGTTGATCTGTTTTCAAGCTGCAGGAAGGGCGACATTGCCAGAGTGAGGTCAGACAGCTGATGGCTTCTTGTTGTTGTTTTGGTTTGAAGTTTCGCATGTGGACAAATGTGCATGACCTATTTATTCTGAAGATATTTTATATGCAGATATACACGAGATATGCATATGGAAATGAATTTGCACAGCCTACGTAATCTCTAAACTCTGATTTCTATTCAAGCAAGTGTACACTGACCTATATTGTCTGTAGATAGTATTTAGTCATAACTGAGCAAATATGCATCACTTTACAATCTGTTATGTGGAGTTTGACCGGGAAATTGAATAATTCCCACTTCAAATCTTAAGATAAATGTGCATATGTAAACAAAAGTGCATGGTCACTATAGTCATACTGTTTATGCGCATCTGAGCAAGTGTGCATGGGCTACATATATGCATTATACTGTATAAACAAATGCATTTCGTATTTGTATTAATTGATCTAGACATTGCATATGCTTAACTAAAACAAAACCTAAGTCGTTTTAATTTCTGTTAATGTATTCATATATATATATAATCTAATCTGTGTTTAGATACTGTATGTACTCATGTAAACAAATGTGCTATTTTTTGCTACATGTACATATGTGCATATTTAAGCAAAGCTGAATCGTTTATATAGTTTGTGGATATTGCATATTGCATATCTGAACACATACGCAAATATGCACAGCCTACCAAATCTCTTAATTAAATAAAAACTAAAATAGTCGTTATTTATATTTAATCAAATGTGCATTTCCTACGTAATATTGTGAGACTGCATATGTGTAGCTATATAAACCAATTTGCACGGTCTATGTATTGTGTTTGGAGACTTTATGCGAATCTAAGCAAATGTGAAGTGAGCATAAACTATATAACTTTTAAATAATGTGTATGCATGTCTAAGCAGTTGTGCATGGCATATGTGTTATGTAGATACTTCATGTACGTTCAGTAGTCAAGATGCCATTACATTACTGTATAGAATTACGCTTTTCACCTTTGGTTGATGGATATGCTTGTAACACCGCAATCAGGGTTGTTTTTCAGTGGCAATTTGTTTGACAGTAATGTTGTGAAATAGTCAGACACTCTATGTGGCCCCAGAATTAGAAGGAAAAGCATGTGAGTCTGACAGATAACATGTTGTCACTGTATTGGCCCACATACTGGAATTACTGTACTCGATCTGCTGATTTCTTGTGTTCAGTTCTGAATGATGTTTTATTATTATGTTGGTTGTAATGTATCTGGTCTCTGCTTTATCTTCTGACATTTCTTCCGTCTTCTCCAGATACCTGGTTGAACAGAGGGATGTAGAACTGAACATCAGAGATAAGTGGGACAGCACACCTCTGTAAGACTGCTCACTTAGGCTTATTTCCTTTTATTGTCTGCTGTAATGAAGTCTCTGCCTGATATCTCTCTCTGTCTTTGTCTTCAGGTATTATGCATGTCTCTGTGGACATGAAGAGCTGGTGCAGTACCTGCTTGCCAACGGTAAATGCTATGATGATAATTCATACCTGACTGGGGCATTATAATCTGTACTGTATAGTCAGATTTGCACGATTATGGTACAAGATAAAGCCTGAAACACTTAAACATGTCAAAAAAGTTCATTAAAAAAAGTAATTCTATAAATCTTTCTTAAAGAAAAAAGTTTTTCTTTTTTTTCTATTTATGTATTCATTAATTAATTAATTAATTAATTTTTTTGTATATATAGGGTGTGTGGTTTTTGTAACCCTGTTACCAAAATTTGAGCATGTCAAAACACAACTTAATAACTTTATTTAAAATTATGGGACTAAATGTTGGCTTGCAACAATTAATGAATCTATATTTCCCATTAAAAACAAAATATGTCTGCACTGCTTGTTTTTTCATAATAAGGTTGTGTGCAAATGTGGTACAGAGCTAATATAATTAATTTAATTTTAGTTCAATAGATTATGTAAGTTATGTCTGAGACCTGAAAACATTTGTTTGTCAAAAAAAAAATTTTTGTAAAAGTTTTTTTTAATTATTTTTTTTTTTTTACAATTTACAATAATTTCATGAGAAAATTATGGGACTAAATGTTGGCTTGCAACAATTAATGAATCTATATTTCCCATTAAAAACAAAATATGTCTGCACTGCTTGTTTTTTAAGGTTGTGTGCAAATGTGGTACAGAGCTAATATAATTAATTTAATTTTAGTTCAATAGATTATGTAAGTTATGTCTGAGACCTGAAAACATTTGTTTGTCAAAAAAAAAAATTTTGTAAAAGTTTTTTTTAATTATTTTTTTTATTTTACAATTTACAATAATTTCATGAGCTTTTTTGGGGGGCAAGTATTACTTTTTTTATATATATTTTTTTTCTGTAACCCTATTACCAAAATTTGAGCATGGCTAAAGGGTTTGTGTGATTTTTTTTTTTTGATTTGATTTTTTTGTGATATAAATGGACAGAATTGAATTGTAGATCAACAGATTATGTAATTTGTTATTATATTATAATTTGAGTTTTTTTGAGTTGTTGAATTTTATTTTAGATAATAGTTTTTCCATCATACATAATAGGTCTCACTAGAAATCAAATAGATTTTTTGTCCTCAGCGATTGTAGACAAACTGTATTACTAGTATTTGTGAAAGTGCATTACAGGCGTGTGCTTGCTGTTTCAGGAGCAAAGTGTGAGGTGAACACGTTTGACGGCGAGCGCTGTCTGTACGGAGCGCTGAGCGACCCCATCCGCCGCCTGCTCAAAGAGTACAAGCGCATCACGGCGAAGGCCATGCAGAGAGACTATTACGACCAGTTCCTGCAGACGTGAGGTCCACAAACACACTCAAACACAAACCACAGTCACTTTCACAAACTCACTGATTGGTGCTTCCCCCTTGCAGGCTTTTGGAGCAGGGAAACTACAGCGATGTGACGTTTATGGTGCACGGTGAGATGTTTAAGGCCCACCGCTGTATCTTGAGTGCCCGATCAGAATACTTCGCCCACATGCTGGAGACCAAGTGGAGGGGGAAGAGTGACATTACCCTCAAACATCCACTGGTAGGCGCTGTTTCACTGCACACAAATCACTTTCACTGTACTGATTCCCAGTCTGCGTAATAGCCATTCTGTGCCACATGTGTGGAAGCCCATTATTTCACAATTTCAGCTTTCTTTTGACTTTTTTCTTAGAATTGTGAGATGTAAATACATACTTGTGAGATAGAAACTCACAAATGTGACTTTTATCTTGCAATTCCAAATTTACATCCCACAAGTTTATATTTTATAGTTCAGACTTTTTTTTCTCAAAATTTTGAGTTTACATCTCACAATTCTGATTTGATTTGTTTTTGTTGTTTTTTTATTATAAAAAATAAAAAAGGTTATTGTGAATTTTTATCTCACAATTCAAGACTTTTTTTTGTTGACACTACAGAATTAAAAATAAATTTTATTGACTTTTTCTCTCACAATTGCAAGTTTATATCTTGCTGTTAAATTTATATCTCATCATTCTGACTTTTTTTTCCTCACAATTCTGAGTTTATAGCTTGCAATGACTTTTTCTCAGAATTTGGAGTTTACATCTTGCAATTCTGACTTCACAGAATAAAAAAATGACTTTTTATCTGACAATTCTGACTTTTTTTCTTACTATTGCGAGTTAATACTACACATTTCTGAATTTATATGTCATAATTCTGAGATATGAAGAACTATATGAGATATAAACTCAATTACCTTTTTTATATTCTGTGGCATAAACAGGTTTCCATACAAATTATATTATGTCAAAGGAGCCCAGATGGCATATTATTTGCGATGCATGCTTTTTCATACTTTCATAGAAATAAGAAAATTGGGAAATGTCACTTTTTTCTGAATAGTAGGTTATGCCACTTTTTTATAATTTCGGATGAAACATGTGTTACATTTACATTGATTAATTTAGCAGATGCTTTTTTCTAAAGTGACTTACAGTACAAATGAGGAATACAATAAGCAATTCATTATAAAGGGGCAAATAAACACTAGAAGTGCTTATAATACAACATTTCAGACTTCATTTAGAACAGTAAACACTAGAACAGGGAGGGATCAAGAAAAAGTAAAAGCATAGGATTTTTCTTATTCATCATGTTTTCTTCAGAAGGTGTTAATGCTACTGTTCACATCTTCTTGAGCTGCTTTAATTATCTTCTCCCCAGGGTTGTCTTAAATTAAGAACAGACTTTTCTCTCTTATAACCTTTTACTTCAGCATGCTTCAAACTCTCATGATCCTAATGTGTCAATTTTAATTTCCTTTTTCAGGTCAACCCTGCTGCATTTGGTGCAATCATGCAGTATTTCTACACTGGTGAGCATCAGAGTTTGTAGGTGGTGTTAGTACTCTGGTGGCAGACAGCTTTATTCTTCACCATGTGCTGTCTTTTTCCAGGCCGTTTGGATATAGATGTGAATTACGTGGAGGACTGCAAGCGTTTGGCGAAACAGTGCAAGATCAGCGAGCTGATTGAGGAGCTGGAAGTGAAGTGCAAACAGGTCTATGAGTTTGGTGAGGAGTGTTGTGAAGCTACATTGAAACTCATAATGATTCATGTTAATGTACACCTTGAAAAATAATTAGCTTCCCTGCAAGGTGTTAACAAAAAGTAGATAACTGCATTAAAGTGATACTACTGTTTTTTTACTGTTTTTAAAAGAAGTCTCTTCTGCTCACCAAAGCCTAAAAACAGAAATATTAGCAAATTTTATTACAATTTAAAATAAAGTTTTTATATTTAAATATATTTTTACAATTCCTGTGATGGTAAAGCTGAATTTTCAGCCTCATTACTCCAGTCTTCAGTGTCACATGATCCTTCAGAAATCATTCTAATATGCTGATTTGCTTGCTGCTCAAGAAACATTTCTTATTATTATCAGTGTTGAAAACAGTTAATATATTTGTGCAAACCTTGATCATATTTATAGGATTCTTTGATGACTAGAAAGTTCAAAAGAACAGCATTTATTTGAAATAGAAATCTTTTGTAATATAAATGTCACTTTTGATCAATTTAAACTCTTCTTTGATTTTTTTTTTTTTTTTTAGAATTATGGGATGTGCGGTTGCCTAGCAACTTGTGGTTTAATTCATAATATTCAAATGCCAGTTCCTGCTGCCCTTTTGGAGCTGGAGGCTTTTCACATGAGGCTCCCTCTCCTCATGAAGAACAAATTTGCCTTAAGGACCTATAAATACTGTCCAAAAAAAAACCCGTAAAAATTTTCTCATGAACTGCACATCTGGTGGAGATGAGTTTCTGGACGTAGTTTTTAAAAGCTTACAAAAATTGAATTGTATTTTTTTTTTTTTTTTTGGGGATTTAGAAATTAAAATGTAAGACATCAGTGCATCTCCATACACTAATAATCAAACATTTGGGGACAGGACGATTTGTTTTGGAAAGAAATTAATACTTTTATTGAGCAAGGACACATTAAATTGATTAAAAGTGACAGTAGAGACATTTATAATGTTACTAAAGATTTCGGTTTCAATTTCAAGATTTCTGAGCTTTCTATTTATCAATGAATCTTGAAAACAAACATATTTAAGCAGCACAACTGTGTTTAACATTGATGATAATCAGAAATGTTTCTTATGCAGCAAATCAGCATATTATTAGAATGATTTCTGAAGGATCATGTGACACTGAAGACCGGAGTAATGATGCTGGAAATTCAGCTTTGCATTACAGGAATGAATTGCATTTAAAAACATATTCAAGTAGAAAACAATTATTTTAAATTGTATTAATAGTTCACAACATTACTGTACTGATTAAAACTCTTGCTGTTTGATCTTTAGGTTGGATACGGTCAGCTTCCTTTCGATCTAACTGATAGTTTTCCGAGTTACCCTGACATCTGCTTCCGGGTGGAGGACTATGACTTCCTGTGTCATAAGGTCAGTGTTTAACACTGATCATCACAAACCCTGAGTGTTGTAGGTAGGACCATATTATTATTGTTGCATAGCCCACATGCAAATACTGTAAAGATATCAATCTAATATCTCTTGGCTACATTTTTAATTACTCAGAATGAATTATTAGTATGACGGTTGTGCTTTAATATTATATTTGTGGTTTGATTAAAAAGGGTATTTGTGCAGATTAAATGTGTTTGTGTTTATGTGCGCAGGCGTTTTTCTGTAGTCGTAGTGATTATTTTAAGGCGTTGCTGGAGGATCATTTCAGCGAGGGTGAAACTCTGCAGACTCATCCCAGTATTCCTGTCATCACCCTTCATGATGTGTCTCACGATTTGTTTACAAGAATCCTTTACTACATCTACAGCGATAACACTCAGGTACACACAAACACGCTAACATGTACAATAAACACTAAAACGTCTCAATCAAGACTAGGGCTGCACGATTAATCGAATGCGATTGTCATGCGCATTTTGTTAAATAAGCCGGTTCTGTAATAAGCAGGAAATCGTCATCACGTGCTTTCAGATGGAGCAGAATTTACTACACATAGCCGTAGTTCACTGACAAGTTACGCATAAAAAATCGTATTTGGAGTTTCGGCGCGAGAGCGCCCTCTGGCCTTTGGATGGAGATTTACTGCTGATCACAGAACCGTGCTTCACTGAAAGATACGCATGACAATCGCAGCTTCTGTCGAATCGCGATCTCGATTCCATTTCGATTTATCGTGCAGCCCTAATCAAGACACATCCCATCAGCGGAGGATTGGAAGACAAGAAAGTTATTAAACTAAATTTTCCGCAAACAAAATGCTTCCAAAGACACGTTTTAGTGTAGTTCTGGCATAAAACAACCCGAGATCTATCACTGTTACTGTGTGAACTAAAATGAAAACTGTTAAAAGTTCAGTAACTGAAATAAAGCAGAAGTAAAATAAAATAAAAAAAATACTTAGTGTTAAGTACGAAGTAGAAATATAAAAACGAATAAAATTACTGAAAATCTAAAAATAAAAACTAAGTCAAAATATAAATAAATTAATTGAAGTAAAGCTGAAATAAAATAAATAAAAATACTAAAATAACTAAAAAAGAAATAAAATAAAGGTAAATAGACAAAAAAAATCAATAGAAATAGAAATATTTCTAAAAATTAAAAATAAAGTTGAAAATATAAAAATAAAAACAAAGTAAAAATGTGTATAAATTACATTTAAAATAAGAATATATAAAAAATTCAATATGAATATTTTCATTTATTTTAACCTATATTTACAAAAAAAAAGAGATATGATTTTTAGATATGATTTTTATATGATTAGAGCACACTTTATAAGGGCATATTCTTGTACTTTTTTCTTCCAAGTTGACAAAAATGTCAGTCCAGGTTTCTTTCACCTTAAACAGGCATAATATAGTTTTACAGGACAGTTTTCCACTCTCTCTTTAAGGCAAGTCATCTTGTTTGATCATGTTCATTAGCTTCATAAATGCAGCGATCCGTCAGATGTGCTAATGTAGCCTCTGTGGTTGTCTTCCAGCTCTCTCATGAGAACGTGTATGAGGTTCTGTGTGTGGCTGACATGTACCTGTTACCGGGTCTGAAGCGTCTGTGTGGCAGGACTCTGGCTGTGCTGCTCAACGAGGAGAACGTGCTGCACATGTGGAAGACGGCCAAACTGTTCCGGCTCTCGCGTCTGGAGGACCAGTGCACTGAATACATGGCCAAGATCATAGAGCGGGTATGTGTTCGTTCATAAATATGCTGCTTATGATCAAAATTTACATAATGTCCCTGGTGTTATTGTGGACCACTTATCCAATAATTTTAATTAAAAATATTTGTTTATTTTAATGATCAAAAAGTAAATGATTTAATATAAAAAATAATATTTTATATAAATGTAAATAAATAAATATTGTTTATACATATAATTTGAATTTGAAATTGAATAAATTGAATATAAAAAATATTTGTTAATAGTTTTATAAAATATAAAAAAATGC